AGATGGATATCTGATGATTTATTAAAGGAATTCCCAAGGATCCAATGTGGTACGTACCCCTTATTAAAAGATACATTATTTTTCTTACCAGAAGTTTTTTCCCCTCCTTCTAAAGGTTAAAGGTGAATTTTTATGGCATGTCATGCCATGTTATGTCATCAAGGCTAATGGTCAAATAAACATCAAACTAAATTCACCCTTTCAGTAAGATTTCTACTAAGAGGCCCCACTGATCTAACAGATAAAGGCAGCACACACAGTGAAAGCAATATATGTATTTATGTCCAAAAATGAAACTGAGAAGGAAGCTGGAGGAGAGTTAACTAATTCTGCCAATATTATACAGAGAAGGTCAACATCAGGACTTGGGAAGATAAGTACCTCTACAGCTCCTTTTTTTTTTTAATGGATGTTCAAGGCCAAGCTACCTGGACAAACTAACTTGTTGAGAAGGCAGGCTGTATATGGGATCCATGCAGGGCTCATCATGCAGAGAAAAGTGTTAATGTGATTGTTTCACTGAGATATTCTCACATGCCCAGACTGCAATAAGCAACAATAAGCTAGTACAAAGCAGTTGGGAAGGAGCTGGAAGAAAATGTGAATTGAATTGCAAGTTGGGTACATGCCAAAGCCAATCAAATCACTCGTTCACCTTACCACAAACCTGATGCAAATCTATCTGTTTTCCGTTCTCAGCAAACTAATTAGAGGGTGAGGACCTGCTTTCTTAAGCATCAATTTTATGCCAATACTAAGGCTGACATATAGCATATACTATATCCAGAGTCCAGAAGAAAGAGGGATTGTCAATGAAGTATACCAGAATTTAAAATTCTGTCTTCATTCATCCCTATTAAATTTTCTTAGGCTAGTGATGTCTCACTTCAACCTTCCTTCTTAATATTATATGATGCACATCTTACATTATAGTTCCCATAAAATGTAAGAATCAAAATGTTTGTTAAATATAAGCATTTTTTTCTCTCAGGTTTCACAAGCTGGGTTCAGCAAGTAATTCTAAGAAAAGGCATGTTCTCTGGGGATGAGGGGTGTTCTAATCCAACCAATTTGGAAGATAACAGGTTGGGAGAAACTAAACGTACTAGAGTTGTTTTATGTGGGGCATCCTATGAGGATATATTACACTGTCATATAAGTATGACTGAACTCTAATGATTTAAGACAGAATAGGTAAATTCACATAGACAAAAATAAACTTTCCTCATCTGTCACTTTCAATTCCATTAATCTCACGGCTGAACTGCTGTGATGTCAGAGAAATCACAGGAAGTGTTTGGCTGGGAAGGAATAGGATGGAAGGCTGAGAGTTGAGTAGAAACAGGAATCAAGAAAAACAGGAACTAGAGCACTAGAGAGCTGAGGATTTAAAAAACTTAGTGAGTGACCTGTAGTGGCACTGACAGAGGTACTGAGCAACTGCTACCAAGGGAACAGCAAGATAGAGACAGTTTGGTCTAGTGGTTAAAGCACCAGGCTAGAAAGTAGGAGATGGGGAGTTCTAGTCCCACCTTAGGCATGAAAGCTGGCTGGGTGACTCAGCCCAACTCACTTCACAGGGCTGTTTTTGTGGGGAAAATAGGAGGAGGAAGGAGTACTAGGTTTGTTCACCGCCTTGAGTTATTTATAAAGGTGGGATTAAAAAAATCTAAAAAAAAAGATAGTGTTGAGATGATAAATCTGAATTTTATTCATTTCCAAATGTTGTTGTTGTTGTTGTTGTTATTATTATTATTTTCCAGTTGGAGCACAAGATGGCTTAGATAATACAATAAAATGCAGCTGAACTCTGAATTGGTAATTAATTCAGCCAAGCTGCTGTTTGAGGAAAGCAGTGTATTCTCTTTTATTTTTTAAAATTATGCTTATGACATGGACAGCTCCAAAATCCCTCCTCCACCGCCAACCTGACACTGGGTGAATTTATCAGACAAAAATCTCCCGTCGTAACAATTTGCATGCTAGTTTGGAGAGGTAGGCCCGGGTGTGTGTAAAATGTACATGTACATGCATGCCTGTGGGTAAGCTTAAGAAAATAGGCAAAGCATTAAGACAGATTCCTCAGAAAGAAGTATTACACTTCTTGCCATGCCTTGCTATGCCATTCTGTTCCTGACATTCACCTAGGCCTTCAAAAACACTGATACTGAATTGCCATAGAAAGAATGAGGTACTCAAATGCCTGCTTCATGTAACGCTACCTTTCAGAAGGATGTTGTGAGCTACTGTCAGGCTCAGCCCAAAGAACTCCACGAAACAATGCAAATACAGCTCTGTTGCGTTTATTAGCTTCCACCTCAAAACAGAAATCTCCCCAGACTGAACCCAAGTTCCCAAGCCAGCCAGCCACAACACTGTGAATTCCTTAGGGAGGTGCCAGCCTCATCTTCTTGAACTTCCCATGCTCCTGTTGGGAGCTAAGAACACGCTTATCTCTCTGAGCCTGGCCTTCAGAAGTCCATTCCATCACAGCTACCCATTACTTGAAACAAGAAACATTTCATTTGAACAAAAATATCTTTCTCTCTCTCTCTCTCTCTCTCACACACACACACACACACACACACTTTTTCCATAATGCCACTAAAGGAGGCCTCTGATAACA